ATGCAATGCTTTCCTTAGTTTGAGGCAGTGTTATGACAAAACAGCAGTGTTACAATACTATGTACAGTTGAACTACCAATTATCTACTGTCTGGAGCCATTGTAACTAGCACATATTTATCTTTAGTATTCTAAATATAGTGCTTTTCCTAAACACGAACAAGAAATTATCTAAAGTTCAGTCTAACTCTGGAGCTGGAATGATCCCCCTCCAAAAAGATTCATTCAGTGGTGATGGTATTTAGCTAAAAAAAATTGTCAGTCAGCCAAGCACTCACCACTACTTAGAAATATTGGTGTAACATTCTTAAAAGAATTCTAGAGTTGATGATTGTAGGAGAATCCTTAGACTTTCATTATGTGTATTTAAAAATGTTGAAGTTTTTATGTTTAGTTACTTGTGCTTGAATAATAGTGGGTAGTGTATTCTGGAAGATGACTGGTTTCTGTTTTCTCCATACATTTATAAGAACATGCTGAATCGGGGACATGGCTGTTCAGTCCAGCTTTCTATACTGACAGTGACCAACATGATGTCCAGTAAAGCCCACAGATAGGCTGCAGTAGCACTCTTCTTCTCAAGCTTGTTTAAATATACACTATATCCCTCTTGATGGAACGAATTTTATCAAACTAGTGTACAGTGGTTTGTAGATATTGTATGCAGAGATATACACGTAAAACATAAAATTGTATTTTTTCATTTTATAGAAGTCTAAAAGAGTTATCATTGATATATTTGATCATTATGTTTAATCTGAGAATATTTGGAGGAAGAAAAGCATTCTAGTGCATGTTTACAGCTTGTTGTTGTTGTTGTTTCATTGTTAAGTTGTGTCCACCTCTTCGTGACCCCATGGACCGGAGCACGCTAGGCCCTCCGGTCTTCCACTGCCTCCCGGAGTTGGGTCAAATTCATGTTGGTAGCTTCAATGACACTGTCCAGCCATCTCGTCCTCTGTCGTCCCCTTCTCCTCTTGCCTTCACACTTTCGCAACATCAGGGGCTTTTCCAGGGAGTCTTCTCTTCTCATGAGATGGCCAGAGTATTGGAGCCTCAGCTTCAGGACCTGTCCTTCCAGTGAGCACTCAGGTTGATTTCCTTCAAAATGGATAGGTTTGTTCTCTTTGCAGTCCAGGGGACTCTCAAGAGTCTCCTCCAGCACCACAATTCAAAAGCATCAATTCTTCGGTGGTCAGACTTCTTTATAGTCCAGCTCTCACTTCTGTAAATCACTGCTGTTCACTCAAAATTATTCAATGCCTTCATGGCAAGCATTTTAAATACTTAGTAGAGCACCCTTTTGCTATTATGATTTGCTGCAAATGAGATGCATAGCCAGACACCAGCTTCTGGCAACATTCCTGAAGAATCTTAGTCCACTCCTTCACTTCAGTAATATTCTTGGGTTTACGTGCTGCAACTGCCTTCTTCAAATCCTACCATAGATTTTCTGTGGGGCTCAAGTCAGGTGATTGTGATGGCCACTTTGGAATCTTTCAGGACTTCTGAAACCAAGCCTTGGTAGAATTTGAGGAATGTTTGGGATCATTGTCCTGTTGGAAGGTCCAATGACGGTCGAACTTCAGCTTCCTTACAGATGGCATAACCTTTTCTCCTAGGATTTTGTGATACTTCAATGAATCCATCTTCCATACACTGCAGGTTTCCAGTGCCAGAGGATGCAAAGCTGCCCCATAGCATCACCGAGCCACTACCATGATTAACTGCAGGCAGAATATTCTTTTCAGCATATTCCTCATTCTTCTTCCTCCAGATATACCGCTGATCCAGCCGACTGAAAAGTTCCAGTTTTGTTTTACCACTCCACAGAACAGAACCCAAAAACCTATGTGGCTTACTTATATGATTTTGAGAATAGTGGAGCCAACTTTTCTTGTGCTCTTGGGACAGTAGTGGTATATGTCTTGGAGTTCTGGCATGGAAACCTTCTGTGTTTTAGTACGCACCTTACTGTCCAAACTGGAACCTTGTTGCTACCAAGTCTTGTTGCAGGGCTTTTGCAGTCATTTGAGGGTTTTTCTCAATCTGCCTTCTCAGAAATCTGGTTGCATCCATTGATAGCTTCCCTTTTCTTCCCCATCCAGGTAGTGTAACCACTGTTTCTTTAACTTTGAACTTGAAAACTATATTTCCAAAAGTGTCTCTAGGAACATCCAGTGCCTTCTCTATCTTTTCTTTGCTTGTGAAGGGCAGTGATATCTTCTCTTAACTTTTTGGACCATTCTTTTGACTGAGCCATATTTCTAACATGTAGTCAAACGTGACACTCACCAAACCCCTAGTCAGTTCAGGTATTTCATGTGTTCCAGCTCAAGCACACCTGGTGCAACTAATGAAGCCCTTGATTTGTTGCATCAGGTATGCTTGAGACAACACCCGGTTTGCATATTTGTGCTGTATTCAGGGATTTAAATACTTTTGAGACTGGAGAATTCATTAAAAGTTGCATTTTTGGTTGAATTTGGAGAAACCACTTGAAGCATTTATTGTGTTGACCTATTTCAATTGCTTTTGTTTGATTTGTTCATTGCAAACAGCTGAAAGTCTGTAAATTTTGACAATAAACCTGATTTTCAGTGGGGGGTTAAGTAATTTTGATTACAACTGTACATAGCTTGGGTAATTGGTGGTATATGATCTGAGGATATTATCCATGTATCCAGACACCCCCGCAGCAATAGATACCTCATTTATTTTGGAAAACTTGAATTTGTCCTTGTGGGTATGCAGAGTCTCCTGTCATGTTGGTATACATGTGATCAAAATGTTGTCAGTGCAGGTTGACTCACATGCTTTGGTGGCATGGAATGCTCAGTTACTTTGTCAGGTAGCTTAATAGTAATTCAGTTTATGTGCCAGAAAGGAAGATGAGCTGGGATTGAAACCTTACATTTTGGTAGTCTGAAGAGTTGAGAAAGGGGTGCTGGGAAATAGGGGAGCAAAGGGGTTAATGGTCTGGAGGTTAGAATGATAAAAGAAGAGATGAAATTAGTTTGTCAGTACTGTATTGAAAAGAAGTGAGCCATGAATGAGGCTTGAGAGAAAGGATATGAAAACAGAAAAATTGGGCAAGAAAAGCCTTACAGCATTTACAATCAGCAAAAACTGGATACTACAGTGAATGAGATTGGAAGAAAGATCATAGGAAAAAAATTAAGAAACCAAACAGGACAAAGTGTTGAGAAAAAAAATAAAAACCACTAGGATGGGGCACCTGTGCAAGGAGTTTAGAGGTTATGCACTACTCAAAGATGTGCAATGTTTTAGGCCTGTGGAGTATGTACTCAAGGGCCATAGACCAGCCTTCCACAGCTTATTGCTTCATTGCCAAATACAGTATTGACCATACTGACTAGAATTCCAGGCTTGTAGTCCATAACATATTTAATAGCCAGCATGTTGGGAGAAGCTGCTCCAAATCTTGGCATGAAAAGTCTGCTAACTGTTGCATCTTCTGGTACTCCTGTTTTATTAACTGGCAGTTCTAAGACAACAAATACAGTGGTGCCTCGCAAGACAATGTTAATTCATTCCACGAAAATCGCTGTCTTGCGAAAACCGTCTTGCGAAATGCGATTCCCCATTGGAATGCATTGAATTCTGTTGAATGTGTTCCAATGGGGAAAAAAATTGTTGTCTTGCGAAAATCACCCATAGGAAAACCGTTTTGTGAAGGGCGGACCCAGCTGTCAAAATCGCTGTCTTGCAAAAAAAGTACCTAAAAAAACAGTTTTGCAAAGCGTGGACCCAGCTGTCAAAATCGTTGTCTTGCGAAAAAGCGTTAAAAAAAAAGTCTTGCAAAGCACGTACCGAAACATCTTCTATCGAAAATCGCCCTCAGGGAAAACTGTTTTGCGAAGCGCTATAGTGATCGCAAAAACCCATTGTCTTGCGAATTAACCGTTTTGCGAGATAATCGTCTAGCGAGACACCACTTTACATGGAAATTAAAAGTGCTGCTGATGATTCAGAGATGCCAATTTCCCATATTCATGTGAACTCATATTCTTTGATTGTGAGATTTTAATCACTGTTCTAATAAACTTGATTTTTACCTAGTTATTGATGATATCTACAAACATAGTTATGCGCCTTAAATGAGACAGTGTTTATCCGAAGTAAATAAATGTCTGAAATGAATGAAACATGGTCACCTTCACCTGGGATTATTGTAAAAAATTGCAGGAGGCCTGTTGTTAATACTGTAAAGCTCAGTGTTTTTAAAACAAAGCGGTACAAAGATTCCTTCTTTTGTTGATTGGGTTATGACACACCTGTCCATGATGGAGATATCATTTTACAACCACTCAGAACAAAGTAGTAAATTGTCAGAAGAAATTAAGAGGACACGGAATTTCTCATCATGGTTCAGTCTCTTGTTCCATTTGCCTCAGAGGACTTTGTATGGTTGCCTTTCCCCTTATTTTTGTTGTAACATGAGTTAAGATTATTTCTACTAACTGCTCTTTTCCAGAATTCAGTAGTAAGAAATAAACTGTATTACCACATATTGGTGCCCATATTCTATATCACATGGATCAAGAGGGTCATTGAGAGGGTGCAAGACCATATAATAGAGCTTCCCCTTTGTCAGTTCCTGATCCCCCTTTCCTTCCACTCCCTAGTTCTGTTCCATCTTGCTGCAACTTTTCCTTTGTAAAATTGTTTTAACTATATTGTTGTTGTTTTATTGTTGTCAGCCGCCTAGAGTAATCTTAATTGATTAGATAGGTGGGATATAAATAAAATAAATAAATAAATAAATGAAAATAATACCGCAAAATCTCTTCCCTCATAGGAAATGTTAATGGGATATAAATAAAAAAAAAATAAAAAAAATAAATGAAAATAATACCACAAAATCTCTTCCCTCATAGGAAATGTTAATGAATGTTAATAAAAAATAAACACTTTGCAGTGTGCTTTGTTTTGCCTTTGTATCTCTGGTTTCAAAAGTGTTTTGCTGTTCACTTTCAGTGCATTGTCTAGCCATTAAGTATCATGTCGGACAACGGGGAACTTGAAGATAAGCCACCAGCTCCACCAGTTCGGATGAGCAGTACCATCTTCAGTTCAGGTGGCAAAGATCCATTATCTGCTAATCATAGCTTGAAACCTTTACCTTCTGTGCCAGAAGAGAAAAAGCCTAGGAACAAAATCATCTCTATTTTTTCTGGCACCGAAAAAGGTAAGATCTTGCTGTGCATATGCTTCTTTTTGGAATTTCATTGTACTGTGTGCTTGCTTGCGAAAGGCAAATGTATGAGCTGTAAAACAAATGCATATTTCAGTATTTTTTCCTCATTTATGCTTGTTTATAATAGAGCTTAGTAGGCATGAGACTTTTGCAGTTTTTGGACTTCATCCCCCAGAGTTGACCAGGAATTGTTTCAGTCAGGTTTCTGGGGGCTTTAGCCAAAAATTAAGGTAATTGCAGGTGTCTTCAGTTATGTACTGGTGGAATATGAAGGCTCCATCAGTCATTTTGTTCCTGTGAAGAAGACAGAGGAAATGGGTGGGAGTGATTAAACTCTGTAGGAGTTGAAAGGCATCCGTGGACTGGTAGTCTCTGCCCATTGGTCTCTGACAGGATATATTTCCAAAAATGACCCGTCTCCTAATCCTTTGTGGCTTATGTGGAGCTTCACCACTCCTACCCATTTCCTTCTCCTTCACTAACTCAGGATGGCCGTGAGTGATTCTTCATTCTCTACCTGTGTCAGCTGTGAGGATTTTGATTTTTTTTCTTTAGCAGTTTCCAGTAGAGATGGGGGTATTCGTATATGAATATGAATACCCCCGCATAGATGGAGATAACGGCTGGACTGTCCACTCACCCTTCTGCTGCTGCTGCTGCAGGCTCCGCACTCCCTTCTAATTATTCCGGAGCCCCTGATCTGCAAGCCACTCTTAGACCTGAAGGGAGACTCATTGTCCTGCCTCCTGCCAGGAGTGGCTAGCCGACCATGAACTCCGGAGCAATAGGAAGGGAGTGCAGAGCCTGCAGCAGCAGCAGGGCGAGTGGAGAGTCTGGCTCTAGGGGGCCAGACCCTCATTATCTCCACTTGTGAGCGGGTATTTGTATATGACTAGTTTCCAGCATTCTGGTTGGGGGAACACCTTGTGAATTCTGAGGAATGAAGTAAAAATATATGGAGATACAGTGACTAGACTTTAACTTGAATTGGGGAAGGCTTTAAAATAGATTACTCTGGCTCGTCAGCCTTGGAAGGCAGCCCATCTAGGAGAAGGAAAACTCCGATCTCAAACCTCTACTGCCTTGTGGCTATATCGACTGATGGAAAAGACTTCAGGAGTTAACCTCAAGGCAAAATCCGGAGCTGGACTCCCGGAGGCAGTTGGTGTCGTTCTGGCAACTCCTGCCATGTCGCTGGAGCCAGTTGTATTGGCTCTTTCCTTTCCATTGGACTATTTCAGCAACTTGGAGAGGGGGGATTTGCTGCTTGGGTAACAGCCTATCCTCCATATTATTTTATCCAGGCTTCGTGCTCTGGAGAGGACACTCCAGCTTCTCATACAGCATCAGCCTTGTAAGCATACTGACTGTGGGAAGTTATTTTCTTCCTCCTATTCCAGCCTGAGCCTTCCCTTAATACTCTTTTCTCCCTTAACCCAGATTATAGGGAGGGAGCTGCTATGGTATATCATCCCCTGCATTTCCTTCTCTAATCTGTAGCAAATGTGGGAGCTACCATTGATTAATATAGAAAGTTTGCAGCACTGGGGTAGATGTTCTTTCCTGCCTTCCAGACTAAAGCCAGATAGAGTGAACAGACCCCAGTCTCTGTAGACTGACTGCTTTTTATTTCTGTACCTCTGTCATAGTGTAGGGTCTAAGAGAAATACAGTGGTGCCCCGCAGGATGACGACCTCGCTAAATGACGAAACTGCAGGATGATGACTTTTTGCGATCGCTATAGCAATTCGCAAAACAGGCATTTCAGTGGGAGAATTCTGCTTCACGACTATTTGGTCCATGCTTCGCGGATCGTTTATTCACACGGCGACGATCTTTACAGCTGATCGTCAGCTTCACAAAATGGCTTCCCGCTGTTTTCCGGACCCATGCTTCGGAACACAGCAGTTAAAAACAGCTGATCGGCGCTCGCAAAATGGCTGGACGATGAGGTATTTTCCCCATTGGAAAACATTAACCAGTTTTCAATGCATTCCAATGGGGAAACTTTTCGCATGACGACGATTTTACTATACAGCGATTTCAGGGGAACGAATTATCGTTGTCATGCGGCGCACCACTGTAGTAACAGCTGTGCTATATCCTTTTATTGGTGAATGCTATTTTGTATTCTTTTCTCTCTAGTGAAATGACAGAATCATTTGGCTAAGTGAATAAAGTGGACACAGCAGCAGCAGTAGTAATTCTGTTGCAGCTATATAAGTTTTATAATTTTGATAAGCATACTTTTGATTAAAATGAGCATACCTGTGTTGGTAAGTTTATGTATTTGTGGTACTCTTACGTTTTGAAAATTGAATGATATGGATTTACAGTGGGATTTGACAGAAATAGTTGAACATTTTGGAGGACCAGGAAAAAAGTGGAAACGTTTACATTTTGAACTGCTTTATATGCTACATTATAGCCTTTAAGCTAGTGTTAGGTTAGTGATTGTTAGGTTAGGTTTGAGAAAGAAAATATAGGCTGCAATTGTGTTTGCTTCCGTAACACTGTACTTCTGTGGACTAACATGTACAGGCTAGATTCAGATTATCACCTTCCAGTTTGTAATTCAGGCACAATAGAGGCAGGTGAGACGGCTCAGTACAGTCCGCTATTTGTTGTTGTTTAGTTGTTAAGTTGTGTCCGACTCTTCGTGACCCCATGGACCAGAGCACATCAGGCCCTCCTGTCTTCCACTGCCTCCTAGAGTCGTATCAGATTCATGTTGGTAGCTTCGATGACACTGTCCAACCATCTTGTCCTCTGTCATCCCCTCCTCCTCTTGCCTTCACACTTTCCCAACATCAGGGTCTTTTCCAAGGAGTCTTCTCTTCTCATGAGATGGCCAAAGTATTGAATCTTCAGCTTCAGGATCTGTCCTTCCAGTGAGCAATCAGGGTTGATTTCCTTCAAAATGGATAGGTTTGTTTTCCTTGCAGTCCAGGGACTCTCAAGAGTCTCCTCCAGCACTACAATTCAAAAGCATCAATTCTTCGGCAGTCAGCCTTCTTTATGGTCCAGCTCTCATTTCCATACATCGCTACTGGAAAAACCATAGCTTTAACTATGTGGACTTTTGTTGGCAAGGTGATGTCTCTGCTTTTTAAGATGCTGTCTAGGTTTGTCATTCTTTCCTCCGAAGAAGCAGGCATTTTTTAATTTTGTGGCTGCTGTTACCATCTGCAGTGACCATGGAGCCCAAGAAAGTAAAATCTGTCACTGATTCTGCTATTTACCCTACACATATATAACTGCTTCGTATTGAAAAACTGCTCTGATGGCACGTTATACAGAGTAGGCAATCTGGCGCAGTACTATTTATTCTCACAGTCTGAGGCTCTCTGGTTGTCAGGCATAGGTCTTTCCCATTACCTGCAATATGATCCTTGTAAGCTCAGATGCGAGGGATTGAATCTGAGACCTTTTGCATGCTATTCAGAGTGCACCTGCATTGAATTACAGTCCTTTACATGAGATAAAATATTAGAGCTATGGAAGTCAATCTTCATGAACTTGAATTAGATTTGTAGTAAGTTCAGTAGAAATTTATAATTTGTGTATCTCCTTATTGAATGCAAGATGGATTTTATTTTGAGTTTTATTTCCTCACTTGGACAGGTGCCAAAATATTTTAGCTTCTTACAGAAGGTAGATGAAGCTAAATTCAAGACGTCATATTTATAGGATCTATGGGACATTAGTAAACTCAACAATTCTGTACAAAGGATATTTCTTTTTAAATGTTGCAAAGTAACTTGATATATTTTTGAAATGGGGATTCTTTGAATATTTCCATGAGCTGTTTTTTTTGTTCCTGTAGGAAGTCGGAAAAAGGAAAAAGAAAGACCTGAAATCTCTCCACCATCAGACTTTGAACATACCATTCATGTTGGTTTTGATGCTGTTACTGGGGAATTCACTGTAAGTATAACAGGCTTGACTCTGTTCACAGTATTTTGGTTTATTGTTGATACGAAGAAAATGTTTTCAGGCCCTTCTTATCTTTCTTGTTATATATCCTCTTTGGAGGCTTTTGTGTATTTCAGCACTAAATTATCTCCTTAACAAAACTTCTGCTGTTATCTCTACAAGACAACTGTAGAAAACTGAAATCACTTTATGACATTTTTCATCTTCATACAGAATATAGGAAATCCTGGCTTAATTTGAAAAAGGTGCTTGCTGCTAACTGAAGTCCATTCATTTTTGCTTGTCCCACTAGCTTGAGCAGTTAAATACCTCAAAGATAGTTTGTTATTTGAAATGAGGGCCCAGACTTGTTACCGTATTTTTCGCACCATAAGACGCACTTTTCCCCCACAAAACAGTGGGGTGGAAAGCCTGTGCGTCTTATGGAGCGAAAAATACGGTATATTTGGTTTAAAAATCCTGACTTGCTTGGGAGCCACAAACCAAGAATGTCAGTTTGAGCAGCATATTAAACCAATAATTCTTTGTTTTTGTGCACAGACGAGTGAGAAGAATAAAGTAGAAGCAAATAATCTTAGTATACTAATAGGCAATTTATTAATGGTAAGCAAGGCTTATCTGGAATGCTATTCCATGCAGATGCAATCACTGTACAGCAAAATTTGGTTGAGTGTCGCTGACAAGTGACTATGAAGAGGTATGCTTCCTCTAAAGGGATCAGGATTATGAACAACACCTCTTTGTCATCCATCACTTAAGAGAAAACTCAGAATCAGTGTCTGAAGAATGAGAATAATTTATTGTGAACTATTTACGGGAGGCAGTGGAAGACCAGGCCTGGCGTGCTCTGGTCCATGGGAGTTACTTCTCCAGCAACTATTTACAGGAGGCAGTGGAAGACCAGGCCTGGTGTGCTCTGGTCCATGGGGTCACGAAGAGTCGGACACAACTTAATGACAAAACAACAACATTTACAGTACTGTACTTCTCCAGCAATATGTTCTCCACGTGAATGCATCAGTAAGGAATAAGCTATAGTCCAATGTCTAACACTGTCACAGCTTGTAAACTTTCAGCCTTCTTTCTCTATTGTCTTGTGCTGACTGGAACAACCACTGGACTGTCTTTCCCAGCACAAACTGCAACATTTGGTTTGGGATCAACCTGTCCCTGATTCGGTGCTTGCTGGGCATCTCAGAGCTTAATTTTCGCTTTTTGAGTCAAAGTCTGAATTCTTCCAGACTGAGTTATTTCAGAAAGTCCAGAATATAATTGGCTAGAGGAAGGTTGTTTTGAAGCTGCAAAACCAGCATATGCTCATCTCCTCCCCACTCAGAGACATCAGGTCGTTCATCTGAATCTCTCTCCTTCTCCTCTTTCCCACCAATTGTTCCAGGCTCTTCCTCCAGCTTCCTTACATTCACTGCTGGGCAGGAACTTTCATTGGTTGCCTTTTTCCTACTTCTCTTCTTGCCCTTCCAGGTCTCTCCAGCCTCCTGGTTCCATTAGATCATTTAATCATAGGTATTGCCCAGAGGAAAGGATCCAGCATTTGTCCGCTTTGAGCTTTGGCAGAGACCCTTAAAGGGGCAGTGGGACATGGAGGGAGACCCCCATTGAATGCCCCTGTTCACAATGACACAGACAATACTTATTTCTCAACATATTGATGGACTGGGCATTTTTTTGAACCTGGGCTTATGCTGACTTACATGCTGACTTACCTACAAGAACGAGAGAATGTTGGTAGATTTCTGAGGCCATTTAATTATATATTTTATACTTTAGATGTAAAATAGATTAATCTTGTCTTCTGTTTTTAGGGAATGCCTGAGCAGTGGGCTCGGCTGTTACAAACCTCAAATATCACCAAGCTAGAACAGAAGAAGAACCCCCAGGCTGTGCTAGATGTTTTGAAGTTTTATGATTCTAAAGATACAGCAAGACAGAAATATTTGAGCTTCTCTGCTACAGGTGTGACTTCAGAGTATTTTGGGCAAATTTATGGTGAATTTCAGAGTGTTCTTGATGGAACCATAAATGAGAACAGTAATATGTAATGAAGTTATTCAGGATAGTGGACCAGTGAATAAAGTTATGTGGGAGCAACTTTCAGTTGACACAACTAAAATTGATTTTGCTGAGTGGCAAACGGAGGATTGAATTTAGCACACATCCATAGTAAGGATTATATTAGCCATTTGGAGGCAGTCTGTCAAAAAGTATATTAGAGAGTGATCTGCTTCTGATTTTAAAGACGACATTTACTTCTTAATAATTTTTTGGGGAGAAGGTGTGTTGGAAAATGTTTTGGGAACATGTTTGGAAAATTTTGCTTTCAGAATGTTAGGCTGTCATTAAATCATGAAGAACCTGGAACAGTTACAAGTGTTTATTATATCTGGTTTTGTATGGAAAAAGAAAAGTCTCTTAAGTACATTTAAATAGTAAATAATTATATTGTATTTCTCCATACTTGTTTAGTAAAGAGGATTTTTTAAGTGAGTGCATTGTAATGAAAATCTCAGAGAAGGATAGGATTTTTGGTTCACATTTCAGTTGAGGTTGTTCTCTTAAGAACGAGGGTGTGATTTACAGTACCTTTCATTTGCATTATTATTCCTCTGTTAATAATCATACTTAAATCTTGTTGGGGTGTGCAATTACATTGAATAATTTTCAAACTGTTCTCTTTTAGAAAAGGATGGATTCCCTTCAGGAGCACCAGCAGTAAGCTTGTTTAGCATATTATATTCTTTGCATATGTTCAGAATGCTTTATTGTGTTTCTTTATTCGAGATGCCTCATCAGTGAATCATATTAATTTTAAAAAATGGGGGGGGAGTTCAGTTCATCATAACATAATTCCTGTCAAATTATCCAAACTTGATAGTTCACTTCCCCTCAAACCTAGCTATGGTCAGTATGCCTCCCCAACCCTTGGTTGGAATGTACCCTTATTGTACAGTTCTGGAGAATTGTGTCACAATCTTAATGTATAACTAGCCAGACAATAGAAGCCCTTACTTCTTTCAATTTTTGCTCATTGAAATAGTTCCCTATTGCATAAAGACTTGACTATAATACTAGGAGTAGCTAGAATGGAGATTTCCAAAAAGTGCAAGAGTCTGGATGTATTGTCATGGAATACTTAGATAAATCCAGTTTGCTGCATTACACTTAACATGTAAAATGAGAGTAAGAAAAGGAATAGAACAAGACAAATTTATGGAAACTTGGTATTTTTTATTTGTATATGTAAATAATAATTCTGCCTCAGTTGGGTGACCCCCAGTTGGACTACCTCAGTTGGGTGTAACCACATCAGAATCGCTCACATTCAGTAATAGTTGTTGGATGAATAAAGCTTTGTTGTGTACTCAGTGTAGTGTAGTGGACAGAGTTTGGGAATTGGGTTCAATTCTCCACTCGGCCATGGAAGTTCAGGGTGGTCTTGGTAGTAGAACTATTCCTTAAATACCTCACTTACCTTGAAAGCCCTGTTAGGGTTGCTATAAGTTAGTTCCAACTTGATGGGACACAACATTATGTTTTATCTGCCTCCTGACTCTGTGACTTACTTTTAATCATTGAAGATTAACTGTAATAGTTATTAATGTTTTTATATTCAAGACATTGATATCTGTATTCTAGTCTAAAAATATGTCATTACTTATATAATTAGTAAGAGGTTGCTGTTACATCAAAAATAAGGATCAATAAATTCACTCACAAGAATGTCTTTCTTACCTTTCCCATTAGAACTGGCGTTAATGACAGTGACTGGAATATAATATTTTGTAGTCTACTATTAATGTTCTTATAATGTAGCTTTCCTATTTTATAGCTCAGTTATTCTATTATTTTCTTTAAAAAATAGCCCAATGCAAAAGTCACAGAACCTTCTGCAACAGCTGAAGAGGAAGATGATGATGATGTGGCTCCTCCTGTTGTTGCCCCACGACCAGATCATACAAAATCAGTGAGGGCTTTTTTTTTCACTGCATAGTTGTTCTTTTACTCTTCTTGTTTGTAATGTAGCTTTCTATGAATTGTAGAATTTGTATAAATTGGTTAAAAACATAAAATGGAAGTTTGTAGTTCCAATCTCACCTTAGTCTGACTCACTTTATGATTTAGGCAAATCCCTAGCTTTCAGCTTCAGTCTTAATCTATAGCAGGGAAATAATTCTGATATGCTTGTTGTAACAGTGGGACCTGTTTTTTTAAAAAACAGCACAACACCCCTTAAGCTTATGAACATTTTCTGTTTCTCTTTTGCAACTAATAGTATTTATTGGTGAATAAGTACATTCAGTTCTCATTGGGCTGCGTTGAGGATTAAGTTTTTGTTTTTATCTCCTTAAGGTAAAAATTTAAATTTTTACAAATTTTACTGTTTTGTTTGCTTGTTTCCTAATGTCCTGCTTTAGCTTCATTTTTGTCAGGATTCAGTACCTGAGTTTACTATTAGAGACTTGACTGATTTTGATTCTTTACAAGTATTTGGCCAGTAAGAGAAAAACGAGGCTTGAATTCATACTTTTGTGTTTAGATGTAATGGTTGAATTATGATGAAACTATCAGCTAAATACAAGATTAGTCCAGTAGAACCACTAAAATCTATGAGTCATAAGTTAGATGTTACTCATACAGTAGGTCTTATGAAATTCAGTGGTCTTTTTTAGTTAAGATTAATATTGGATTTAGCATATACAAGGTTGTAATGCTGAACATCATAAACTGGCATAAGGAAGCTGTTCTGTACCACATTTCTGTGAAGCTGTCATTCAAATCTGGAGTCTCAAATGTATCAAGGATTTGTATGACAATACACATTAATGGAGAAAAATAAGGAAGACAAGTTTGTAAAACTGAACTCTTAACATCTGCAGGCCACATCAAATTTCTGTATCAGTTGATAGAATTTAGTAATTATGGAGCCGTACTGCCTAGAAGGATAACCATAAATCCCTACTAGAGATATTAAACACTTGTGGCAATTGAAACCTGGAAAGATATCAGTTGTACACAGACCATGATATTACAACAGACATCTTGTTTTCTTGCAGATTTATACACGGTCAGTAATGGATCCTATCTCAGCACCATCTGGTGACTTGGGGGATAGTGCTGCTAAATCAGGTGATAAACAGAAAAAGAAAGCTAAGATGTCAGATGAAGAGATCATGGAAAGGCTACGTGAGTTGGAATTTTAAATTAAATGGTTACTCAGAAAGCTTATGTAATTAGCCTAAAGTCATGTGTGGTGACTGATGTATTAACAATTGTCCCTTTCTATTATATGATTTGATTAATTCTTATGGCATAGTTTGTCATAAGAACTGTGGACACATCTTGTATTTTGGGTATAAAATAAATACAGGTATTTATTTTGTAAGTACTGGAGAAATGCTGAAGCAAAAACCTTTCTGAGGAGCAAATTCAGAGTTCATATTGTTTGTGCACTGTTGTTCACAGGAAGCAAATGTTTTAATGTAAATAGCCCAGTTACCGATCTTCCCACTTATACTAAATAGTTATAAAGTATAAAGGTATTCCAAAACATAATAGCCAAATGGCCAGCCGTAATGGAAGCAAAGCAGACTTTTGATGCTCTAATGATTACATCTATAAATCATAACAAAGGTAACATATATCATGAGTAGTTTGTAAATAGAAATTCTTTGCAAAGGGTTAAATCAGTATCTTGGGGTTGAAGAAAATATGATGACTTGGATTTTGACTTTTTTTCTTCAAATATAACAGTGTTTGCATTTGCAAAAGAGGTTTTCTTCCTTCTCCCTGTACCCTACAAAATATGTGCTGTTGAAAACTGAGGGTCTCATGGGAGTGGCTTGGGATATGATGCATTATAGAAGGAGGCATTGGTAGATGTTGCCTATTCCTCTGAAATGAAGAGAGGAAAAATTAGTGACCTAAGTCTTTTAAAAAAGATTATATTGTTTAAAAGGTGTATATATTTATTTTCAGAGGAATACAGTAGTGCATATCAGTTATTTTATAATATTGTGTATGCCTCTTTTAGGAACTATTGTGAGTATTGGAGATCCCAAGAAAAAATATACCCGATACGAAAAGATAGGGCAGGGGTGAGTGTTTATAAATATTTTCTATATTTGTTAGTTATTTGCCACCAAGTCAGAATTGACTTAAAATGACCCTAATAAGGCTGTCAAGGTAAGTGAAATATTTAAGGAGTGATTTTACCAGTTCCACCTTCCTAGTGAGTTTCTGTGGCCAAGTTGGGATTTGAACTCTAATCTTCAGAGTCCTAGTCCACTACTCAATTTACTACACTGGGGGTTTCAATGTAGCAAATACTCAGAAGTGATGTACCATTCCCTTCTTACTGATTATGTAATGTGTTTCTTAAGATAGTGTATTTTCCCCTCCTGTTTGGCATTTGTTTGCTGCTTATGAAACAAAAAATACTAGCAATAGAGTAAAAAGCAACAGACACCAAATGCAAATCTTCAACAGAAGGAGAAAACTTGTAACATTTATACTTTTTAAAAAATTATTTGCTGTTTTGAATGAGCTGGAATATTATGAGCAAGAATTCTAAAGACTCTTTCCCACTACTTTTAGGTGGATTTATTCCAAACTAGCTAACCTTAGTGTTCTATACTGAGGTGTTTCTAAAAATCTGTTTAAAAGGGACAGATTTAACTTTTCCTGTGTTGTTTTATATAGACTTTGATCCAATTTTAATGTATAATTAATTTCCTAGAGAAAATTGAAGTACAGTAAAACTATCCTGGAAAGATAATGCAGCTGTTTTTGTTCATGCAGCTGTATGTTCAGTATTGGAAATATTCATTTAATTATATATTTTCCTTTCACAGAGCATCAGGTACAGTTTTCATCGCCATAGATGTGGCAACAGGACAGGAGGTAAGAACAGTATGTTTTTTGATCTTTTGCATTTTCATTACAGAGCTGCAAAATTGAATGTGTTAGGGTTTTCTTTCTTCAAACCTGGCAAAACTCATACCCATTTACAAGTAGCAAATTCCTCATAATTGTCAGCAGAAGTACAGTGGTGCCTCGCATAGCAAGGTTAATTGGTTCCAAAAAAAACATCGCTATGGGAAAACATCGCTAAATGAAACGCGTTTTCCCATAGAGATGCATTGAAAACCCGATAATCAGTTCTAATAGGAACGGATTATCCGGTTTTCTCCCCCACCATCGGACGCAGTGCTTTGGGAGAAGCTTGGGGGGGGAGAGATGGGATCGGCTCCTGCCTTCTCCCCCACCACCTGGCTGCTCCCAAAGGGCTGCCCTGACTGTGCTTGCAGCAGCGGAGGAGGTGCCCGGTGGAGGAGAAGGCAGGAGCCGATCTGTCATTTCTCCTCCACCGGGCACCTCTTCCACTGCTGCAAGCAACATCAGGACAGCCCTTGGGCATCCGGATCCCCCACCCTCCCCCCGCGGCTTGGATCTGACCTGCGCTCACAGGATACCCGTTCAGTTTCATTCTGTTCTTTTCAGCTCAGTTATTGAATCTATCAAGATCTTTTTGAATTTTGCTTTGATCTTCTAGGGTATTAACTATTCCACCCAATTTTGTGTCATTTGCAAATCTGATAAGCATTCTCTGCACCCCCTCATCTTACTCATTAATAAAAATGTTGAAGAGCACCAGGCCCAGGACAGAGCCTTGTAATATCCCACTTGTTATTTCCTCCCAGTTTGAGGAGGAGCCCTTGATATTCACGCTTTGAGTATGATTCTGTAACCAAGTGTCTCCACCTGAGAGTTGTTATATCCAGCCCACACCTAATTTGCTTGCTTCCAAAAACAGGCAGTGCTTCAAAAAGGTCACCAGAGATTACATACAAGACAGAGCAATGTGGCTGGAGATGAGAAGCACTAAGGGAAAAGTGATATTGGATACTGGAAGCCGCCTAGAGTGGTCAAGTGGACCAGATAGGCGGGGCATAAATAAATAAATAAATAAATAAATAAATAAATAAATAAATAAATATCGACAATACGGGATTCAGAGGATCAGCAATATTCAGAGGGCCAGTAATAAGTGTCCTACAGCTATGATAGTGAGGGAAAGGAGGATTCTAGGCTTAAAGGGAGTGTATGTCAATCTAGGAATCTGTTTTAGTAGGAAAGAGGTCAAACAGAAATTCTTCAAAATAAGCCTACTCAGATAGACAAAACAAAATTGCAGAACAATGTTTCTAAGAAAACAGCATAGAAAGGGGCAAGTAAAATGTGTTTAAAATGAAATAAAATAACTTCAAGAAATAAAAAACAGTGAGGGGTCAATGCAATGAGAGAATATCTTAAAGATATCACTTCACATGTGTAAAAAAAGTAGGCAGGTAAGGACACCATGTAATTGAAAACAGTATGATGCTAGGAATGGCACTGCTTAACCTATAAAGGAAATAACATTCATATATTTTGGAGTACTGGCAGTTGCTATCACTAATATGTTTCTTTTTCTTTCAATTAATATTTTTGTTGCTGCTTCATTAATGTTCCTAGAAGATGGTGCCAGTTATGTGGATCAATTGAACTACTGTATTTTTTGCTCTATAAGATGCGCTTTTTCCACCCCAAAAAGTTCCAAAGGGTCCTAGGGTGTGTTCCATAAGATGGACCTCTCCATTTAGGAGAAGAAAACATATTATTTTTTCAACTAAATGGTTGTTACATCAGCTAAAGAAATGCAAGAATGGCTGTCTGCCTTTTGATAGGGATCTTGGTAAAAGTTAGTGTTGCAGCAGTTTTACAGTTGGTGAATAGATTTTTTTTACCCTTTCAGGTTGCTATTAAACAGATAAATCTTCAGAAACAACCCAAGAAAGAGTTAATTATCAATGAAATACTGGTAATGAAAGAATTGAAGAACCCAAACATAGTCAACTTTCTGGACAGGTAACTAAGCCTATGGTTTAGTAATGAGAGAAAAATTTGGACATGGGAGTCCAAGGGTCCAAACCTTACTCAACAATGAAGCGTAAATCCTTCTGCAAATAATTCTTTCTGTTCTTCCATTACATAAGAATATTTTGAAGCTGTGATGCTATTCAGTGTTATCTGTTTTAGGAACTTAAGTGAGGTGACATATTTCTTTTAAGTCATTAATACACTTGCAGAATTTCCAGACCTGTACTTTGTACTTTGGAAACAAGGTAACCAGTACCAGATTGCTGTTGCTGACAACACGCACACATCAGTTTTCCTGTTCGAGTCGTAGCATGCTTTTTGGAATAGCACATACTTAAATGTAAATTCTAGTTTTCAAACTACTGTTTAAGTGTACTGAAGTTTTGCTGTGTGTTTTTCTATTTTAGTTATCTAGTTGGAGATGAGCTCTTTGTTGTAATGGAGTATCTGGCTGGTGGGTCGCTCACAGATGTTGTTACAGAGACTTGTATGGATGAGGCACAGATTGCTGCTGTCTGCAGAGAAGTGAGTATGGGAAGATTAGAGGAAGGATGAATTGCATTTCAGTGATAGAGGCGTTGACTCTGTCATTGGAGATTTATAATTTGGGTTTATAAGAGAGAGACCTCCCCTTGCCCCCCATGCGCACTCACCCCTGCGCCACCTGTTTGCACCTGTGTGCATGCTCTGGCTTGCCCGCACAAGTGCCGTGCCATTTGCGCATGCACATAGGCGGGTGCGGGCCCGCATGAGCGTGCACCACTGTTTGTGTATGCGCACGAGCAGCTGTGCATGTGCGCAAATGGAGGCACACACTTGTGTGTGTCTGCGCATGCCTGTGCACATGCACAAATGGCGGCACTACACTCGTGTGGGCACCCGCCCGCCCATGCCAGAGAGCGTGCATGCTTGTTCGTGCATGTGCGTGAGCGCAGGGGGTGCCCTGTCTTCCCCAGCCGGTCCACAGACCGGAAAAGGTTGGGGAACACTGGGCTAGAACATCTAGTGAGGATCAAATTGAGCTGATGCCAATGCTTGGATCTTGGATGTCTACAAGAGACTGTGTCGAAGCTTTGTTCAGCCCCTCACAGCTGAACAAAGTCACAAATGCCTCTGTTAAAAGGGCCGTTGAGGAAAGAACATCTTTAGAGTTTTCATAATTTGGAGGTGACTTGATGGCACGTATCAAGAACAAATAAAGCTTTTAGGGAAGTGTTAAGAATTCTGATTTTTAAATAAAGCTTTCCTAATTGTTTTACAGTGGTACCTCGCTTAACGAGCGCACCGTAGAATGACGAATTTGCATAGCGATCCGTTTTTTAATCGCTAATTCGAAGGCATACCGACGGTTCCAATGGGCGAAAATTGCTTAGCGACGATCGGTAAGCGTTTCGCTTACCGATTTTCACTTAGCGATTTTTTCAGTCAGCTGTTCGGTGGTTCCAAAATGGCCACCAGACGCCCAAAATGGCCGCGCGCAGCGTTTTTGCGCCCTGCCCCCGCTTACCGAGGGCACGAAAATGGCAGCCGGATGGGGGAAACATCGCAGAACGGTGAGTTTTGTGCCCATTTGGAATGCATTAAACTTTGTTCCAATGGGCTTTTCCGTTCCGTATCGGGATGTTTCCCCATAGCGAAGGCTACTCCAGAACGGATTAACCTCGCTATGCGGGGCACCACTGTATTTGGTGCCTTACGATTATTTTTGCTTTTCTTTTTGGTATTATTAAATCACCATTTGGGGGTTAATAATTGTCTTTCGGTAATGTGAATTTTACATGTGTTTTCACACCATCATTTCCATTACTTCCATATAGTGTTTACAGGCACTGGAATTCCTACATGCCAACCAAGTGATTCACAGGGATATTAAAAGTGACAATGTCCTCTTGGGAATGGATGGATCAGTTAAGCTGAGTAAGTGCATGACAACTAATGTGTGCATTGATATATACAACTACATAGCTAGATGATCTTTTTTCTAAAATGGCTAGAAATCAAAGGTCTCTAGGCAACATGTATCTCATGAAGGCCGCCAGTGCACCCTCCCTCCACAAAAGACTTGGCCTAAAGATGATTGATCCCAAAAGGTGCCATGGCTGGTCAAAGATTGTGTCTCCTCCCACCTGTTTTTTTATGTTGCCCATTTAGCAAATAGCTGCTCTGGATATAAAGCTTTTAGTAGCTCATGCTCACTAAAGTTGGAGCATGTAGCTGAGCGATGGGAAGACTGTATCAGAATACTACATAAATGCTTAGATTCCAATATAAATGATATATCTACAAGTAGTTTGTTGGCTTTTAAACAAAGCAAGCTATATCCATTCCATTGATAAATACGAAGCAAATCATAATTTGCTTTGTTTTCCTATTGCATGTGTGTTCTTATTCTTAAGCCAGCAGGTGGCAGTCTCACTCTGACAGTTTTTGGGAATTGGTTGACCAGTATCCTTAGTAGAGTTTTCTTGACCACCTGTATCACCTCAAGCCCCATCCTGTATTAACATTGGGTTCCATACAGAAATTAGGACATAATATTTGGATAATTGAAAGAAGGAAGCAAGTAAGTACAAAAAGTGAATAACTTCTGTGTTCAGTAATTTGCACGGTAGTTTTAATTTTTCCACTGCAAACCATGGATTATTGAAGAAATAGAAGTGTTCTTATCGTAAAATATTGATACATACAACCAGCAGTAAATAATTCAAATTTTGTCAATAGTAGTGCCACACACTAATTGGGCAGTGGAATGAATGAATGAATGAATAAAATCATAGTGCCACACACTAATTGGGCAGTGTAAAAGTGGAATGAATGAATGAATGAATAAAATCTTGGCTTAGGAATTAAAACATAGAGGGTGTTCTACAAAAATGAGTGGTAACATTTTTCATAAAGGAGAAGGAAAAAAAATCTAAAACAAGGGATGGTTGTTATCTGTATTAGACAACTAAAATATCAAAACTGACTAAGCTTTTGAGTACTACAGGACTTTTTTTTTCATATGTCCAATGTTTCTCCCTGTTTGCTAGGAATATGGTGCATTAAGTCATAGAGTTCCAAATTCCTTCACTGACACGTGGCAGAAACAGGGTCTCTTTGGTTTATATATACATAGTAGAATAAATTTCTGAGAGGCTATATTAGTCTGTACTATTTCTACTCCAGGTGAATGAACCCACATGTGAAAGATAGACTTCAATTATACAACTGATACATAGAAAATAAACTTGGCTAAAATTTGTTATCTGCTGCTTCTTTTTAAGTTGCAGGGACATTTCTTATATGGGAATTTATAAAAGTGAAACATCTCAGTCCGTTGCTTGAGTCTGTAGTTGGTATACATCTGTGACAATAAGATGGTAGAAATGACTGCAGCATTTATGCTTCATGGGAATCAACTCCAGTAGTGTGCTTCTACTTGTAAAAAAAGTCACATGCATACAAAACTACCAGAGCAATGAGAGAGGTTTTATCCTAGTTGTTTGCTTATTATGGCGACTCTTCAATTGTTTTAATATAGGGAGCATTAAAATGTGATTTGACATGTAATCTGAAATGCTGCTGTCAGTTGTATCATCTCAGCATTCTGCTGTACATCTTAATCTGAAAGCACAGTGGGGAGTCAGATTCCTGACCTGGGTACTCTAGTTCACTGTGCTACCCAACCATCTGTAGCCTGGGCTTAAAGGAACCTGGAACTTTCAGGGATCTCTTCCTTAACAATTCCTCACTATTCACATCTCTTGCATCAGTGACATAAATTGTTCATGGAGTCTTCTGATATATTGAGAGAGTATAGTAGGAGGATTACAATTTTTGCAATTTTTTCTGAAAGTATAAATTGAGTAATACACATTTTAGGATACCTCAGGTAAACAGTGTCTGATTAATGAATTTAAATTGGTGTTTTTTCTTGTCTTCCTTGCAGCTGATTTTGGATTCTGTGCTCAGATTACTCCAGAGCAAAGCAAACGTAGTACTATGGTTGGGACACCTTACTGGATGGCTCCTGAAGTGGTCACGCGAAAGGCCTATGGTCCTAAAGTGGATATCTGGTCCCTGGGTATTATGGCCATTGAAATGGTTGAGGGCGAGCCTCCGTATCTTAACGAAAATCCTTTGAGGGTAAAGTATTGTTGATTTCAAGAACAGTTTGCCTAGGTGTGCATTAATAATGGCAGGTCAAAGAGAAAAGGTTGTGTGATCTTTTGCAAGTGGAAACATTTGCATGCGAAAACAGGCATTAGTAGTGAAGCGTATGATGCTTCTAGTTTGGTTTCTGTTTAGTATCTAATGCCAGTGGAATGGAGCATTAGCATTCAGGTGAGAGAGGGACCAGCATGGAGTTTTCTGCTTTAGGTGTAACAGGTTACATTTTTAAATCTCAGAGTTGTAGAACAGTGGTGGAGAGTTTTCTCTCCAGGCTGTTTGCCAGCAGCAAATGGCATCAAAGTGAGGAACGCTCACACCATCTTCCTCTTCCTCCCTCTCTCCTACTCCAGTGGGCTGCCAGAGTACGGGCAGATTGCTCTTGCCTGGAAGCTTGTAGGGGCCATTGAAATTAGGTTATGGATTTTTTTTTACTTGCTTCAGGTGATTTTATAGCTCGTGAGAGATTGTGCTAGTTGGCTCTTGGGTATCTGAGTTATCCAGTAGTAAAATCATAGTTCAGATAAGCTTTTCCGTATTCCATTGTAGTTGTTCTACATTCCATCTTGCTAAATGTGTTGAACTTCAGTTTAAAATGGAACTGATATTTTAAATGAGTAGTTTTAAACGAGCAGTCGTAAAAGGTATAACTTTAGGCCTTAATTCAATAAAACAGTATGAATTAAGATCCATACAAGCTAAAGTGTTTTGAGCTTTTCAGCCCAGCTTCTGATGCTGCTTAAGATACAACTTGCTTCTTTGGATGGAGCCTAATAAACTTCTAAGGAATCTAAGATTGCCAGGAACATTGCAGAAAACTACCATTTCAGAATAATGCATCACATTCTTTCAATTTGTGTGATTTGTACTCCAGTACACATATAATAGAATGAAAGCAACTTTTTAAGTTTTTGTAACCGAAATGTTTTGTTTCACTTTCTTCTTATAGGCATTATATTTGATAGCAACAAATGGCACCCCAGAACTGCAGAACCCAGAAAAACTCTCCCCAATATTCCGTGACTTTTTGAATAGTTGTTTGGAAATGGATGTAGAGAAGAGAGGATCAGCCAAAGAACTGTTACAGGTAAAGGGACTGAAATCTTTCAAATAACATTTCTTGAAAGCCTGTGTACATATAGAAGACTGATATAATTGGCGAATTCTGAAGAGTGTGGGATAGAATAAAAGTAACGCGATATCTTTACAGATGGGGAAATGTTTGGTAGAGAAATTCCCAGTACAGTGGTGCCTCGCTTAGCGATCGCTCCGTTGAGTGACGAAATCGCTTAGCGATGGGGTTTAAGCGATCGCACAAGCGATCGCTTAGTGATGGTCCCTATGGGGAAAATTCGCTTTGCGATGATTGTGGGGAAGCGATCATCGCAAAGCCCCCATTTTTGGCCAGCTGACCGGCGGTTTCAAAATGGCCGCCCGCTGTGTTGCCTCGCTTTAAAGGCACCGAAAATAGCCGCCCCATGGAGGATTTTCGCTTAAGGTTAGTTTTGAAGCCCATAGGAACGCATTAATGGCGTTTTAATGCGTTTCTATGGGCTTTTTGAATCCATTTAGCGATGAAATCGCTTAGCAATGTTTTTTACTGCACGGATTAACGTCGGTAAGCAAGGCACCACTGTACAGGTAATTTGACCAGGGCATTTCCTTTTGTCTTCTTCTTGAATTGTTGAGGAGACTAATTTAGTTTCCCTGGTCATCTCCATACTCTCTTATATGCCCTTTCCAGGAGCAGGAAGGAAACCTAGACTGCACCAAGCTGTGTAGCAAGCTGGTATACTGAAATTCCTTTTGTCTCCTGCTCTCACTCCTTCACCCAATTTGCTTTATCTGTTGCTGATCCCACTGTGCTTCAGGGGCAAGATCCAGCAGGGGTAGCCAGAGTGCCTTACAACTTTGGTCATTCTCTTCCCAAGGGGATAGGCAGAGAGGGGTTTTCTCTTTGGGTTGCTGGCTAAAGCCTGCCTGAAGGGAATCCCACTGCCCCATTTACAAAGACGCGGGGGATCACTTCACTCAGGCTTCCCATGTCTTTCTATGCCCCTGTGGCATGGACGGGAAGCCTGACCAAAGAAATCCCACCCACCCCCAACTCCCTGTTGTTTTTGCAAATATCAGGGGGATCACTTTGGTCAGACTTCTGCTGTCTTTCTGTGCCTGCTGTGGGGGCATAGAAACAGGAAACCTGAACCAAAAGATTTCCCCTCCCCCTATCCTTGCAAAGACAGTGGGGTGGGTAGATCACTTTGATCAGGCTTTCACGGTCTATGCCATAGGGGCATAGACAGAGGAAGCCTGAACCAAGCGATTCCCCCCAGTGTCTCTGCAAAAACAGAGGTGGGGGGAATCCCTTGGGTCAGACTTCCACTGTGTTTCTATGCCCACCTAGGCATAGAAAGATGGGGGAAGCCTGACCAAAGCTACTGAAGTAGCAGTTGGAAGGAAATTTTCTTAAACAGGCCCACAGGCTCGCTAAAAAACAAAAAAGACCTGTTGAATTGATGAATTGATTCATGGTTTGTTGGGCCACGGGGGGTGGGTGGGTGGTTCGTGGTTCATCAAGATTTATTTATTATTTTATTTCTTTATTTAACTTATATGCTGCCCACTCTACCCAAAGGTCTCTGGGCAGCTTACAACAATTAAAATACAATAAAAAGATAAAAAACAATTCAAATACAATTAAAATATATACTCTAAAAATTGCCATCAGGGCCCACCGTTGATACTATTTCAATTAAAAGCCTTCTGGAACAGAAGATTGATGATCTATGAATCAAGACAAAGCCTCATTTTGGCACTTCATCCCTATCTCTATTCATAAGATATAAATCATTGCCTCTGTTAGCGGGGTGTTGAAAGTCTACAGAAAGGGGGTTAAACTGTAACTGCCTGTTGCATTGAATGGGGCAGACTGTAATTTCTGCTAGCTAGAATTAGAAACCCTCTTCAAATCACAGTTTCTAGTTCTTGTTGTTTAGTCGTTAAGTCATGTTCAACCCCTCGTGACCGTATGGACCAGAGCACACCAGGCCTTCCTATCTTCCACTGCCTCCCGGAGTTCTAGTTCTAGTTGCAGTCAAACTGAAGGAAACTGTAGTGTATAATTCTAAGTTTTGCCTTACAATTGAATAAACTCTGCTGCTGTCTTAGAGACTGGAAGCAGGTACAGTGGTGCCTCGCTTAGCGAGTGCTTCGCTATGCGATGAATTCACATAGCGAGGGGGTCCGGGCCATCGCTGGAGCGTTCGCTCAGCGATGGCCCCTATAGTGTTTTTTCGCTTTGCGATGATCGCTAAGCAATTCGCTTAGCGATTTTCGCAGAGCGAAGCGGGGAGAACAGCTGATCGGCGGTTCCAAAATGGCCGCTGGAAGGTCCGCGCCGCATTTTCGCGCCCTGCCCTCGCTTACCGAGGGCGCGAAAATGGCAGCGCTATGGAAAAACATCTCTAACTGTGAGTTTTAAAGCCATAGGAACGCATTGAACTTTCTATGGCTTTTTTATTCCCGTTTAGCGATGTTTTCGCATAGCGAAGGTTAATCCGGAACGGATTAACCTCGCTATGCGAGGCACCACTGTACTTTGTTGGTGTATTTCCATTCCAGTCTCCATCAGTCTGTTAAATTCTTGGCTTACTCACATGTGATGTTTTGCTTTTTGCCTAAATATAATGTAATATAATTTTAATTCTTTACTGTTTATAAAGCAGTCATCTTGAAATGTTCCTGTTTTAATTTACTTTGAAACATCCTTTCATTAAAAGGTTATTTCTTTAATTTACTTTTAGCATCCGTTCCTGAAATTGGCCAAACCCTTATCAAGTTTGACGCCATTGATCTTAGCAGCCAAAGAAGCAATGAAGAGTAACCGTTAGCAGTGCTGCTATGGCCCTTATGATTTTTGTTTTTTATTTTTTTAAAAAATCTTCATAATATATAAATGGTTGCTCTTGTTAGGGGGGTTGAAAGTCTGCAGAAGGGGAAATATCTTTCACCTTGAAGATAAATGAGAAGAAGAAAATTGGTGGTTTTAGTGAACTCTTCTTGGAGTCTGGAAGAAGTTGTGAACTGAATCACTGGCCCCTTCAATCCTTCTGCAGACAGCTCAGAAGTTTATATTACTATGTCTCAGAGTTGTTGGTTTTGATGACTTTGCTGTACTAGATCCCACTCATTGTGCTCTTCTGAGCACTTTCAATACTTGAACAACAGATTCAAGCTTTTAGGGGAAGGCATTACTTTGATCGACTTGCCTCTCTCTCCCTTTTTCTTAGTCATTCATTCAAGATATGGCGACTCTTGAGTTGTTAAAGGCAGATATAGTAGAAATGTGAATGTTCCTATTAGTCCCATTTTCTTAATGTACAATTTAGTAACTATTGTAGCATTAACCACCCAGCTACCTAGGAACCTGATTTTACAGTGACTGTTCTGAAAGACAGAAGAACATGGACAGAGAGGGAAGAAGATGGCTTTGCAAAGTTTGGTGTGGAATTTTGTTGCATGGACTTCTTAATATAAGGGAAAGATGCCTCTGAATTTTGGAGATAGAATATAAGTTTGGAAATGGAGGAAAGTGCTGCATTTCTTAATGTTTAAATCATCCTTTGGGCATGGGAAGAGAACCTGGTTCCTATGAATTGTCTTCCACTCCTCCTTTGCCTTTGTAGGTTTGTTGATAACATTTTAAAGGGATGTCTTGAAAGTGTGTGGTTTTGTAGCAAAGTGCTGTATCCATGTTCTGACTTGGGCTTTGGGCTTTATGCTGGTGCCTTCTGAATTTTTAAATTACCCTTCTTTATATTAAATACGTTTTGTATATGTTGTACATTTTCCCTCCAAAAGCAGCTTTGGAGTTGTCAGGACGAAATGCTAGAGCTTTCTTCCTTTATATATATATATACACACAGACACACACACACAAGTAGATGCACCATTCTACTAACAGAAGATCAAGCAGATTTGCAAAAAATAGAAAAGCCAAGACATTTTGTATAACACAGCCAACTGAAGCTTCTGAACACCAAAGTGCCATTCTGTGGTGACAAAATTGGAGGTAGTAGATTAGTTAGATACAGCAGTAGTGAATTGGCTTACAAGTGGCTGGAAGAACATGCCTTCTCATGGTTGTCCTGCTTCTTGAAAAAGCATATCTACTATGACTGTAGCCAAACACAAGATTAAGTGCCTCCCTAAATCAAAGGAAATGATTGGAGCTGTAGAGAAATTGGAGTTCTGTATGAGGTGGACTAATAGATGATTGGGACGGCTTTGTTACTCACATCAGCCTTTTGAAATCACTGTGTGTTAATATGCAGCTTATCTTGATGGAGAATTCCTCAGTGATAATGTGCCAAACAGTAATGTTAAGACTCGTTAATTTGGTGCTGTAGCTTTCTCACATTTCTGGTCAGTATTTTGGGGAGGATATCTTGAAACCTGGTTAGGAGGCGACCTGTTACATCTTTTCTGATGATAGGTGGAAAGCCTTTTTCTAAATACTGAGCAATAGCAATGTCTGTTCGTGTAAGATCATCATATTTATGCTGGATTATCATGAAAAGATTGCCAGATGCCAGATTCTGAGCTACTGCATCACAAGGAACTCCATTGCTTCAGATCTTGGAGCTTTTGAATCCAGCTTTGTGCCAACAATTGCCTTATTTATGCAACTCAAAGCAATGCCACACTCCACTCTGCAGCTCTGTAACCTAACCATTAACTTTCAGAACATTTGGAATGTGTTTTTATTTGGTCTGAGGAGGTGTGATTTCTTGTCTGAGTCGTACTTTAGGTAGTGTTCTTTTGTCATGGCTTGTGATACTGTTATTATAAAAGTTTAAACAGCCTTGCCTTTAATTTGATATATGTGAATTAAACCAAGAGATTTAAAAAAACCCTTACAGTTAATTTTAATCTTCTTGCCATTGGGTCTTTGTCTGTTGCTGGCAATGGAATATGTGGAACCCATGACTCCTGCAATGTAATTATGTGTTAGTGTTTTGTGATTTTCTTAATCATAGCAAGCTATTTTAGAATATGTGTTTTGAAACAAAAACATTCTTTTAACATCATTTTCTAAAAAAATCTGCAAATAGCAGTTGACTGCTTCTTTGAAAGGATTTGGAAATCTTTCCTTGAAGTTGATTACAATTTGGATTAGCTCAGGAGTTGAAGTACATCCTGTGACCGGTCTTGTATCTTTGTGATATCAGTATTCACACAGTATGTTTGTAAAAATGTAACTTGTGGCTCAGCCATGCATTAATCTAATTTCTGTATCCTCTGTTGGCTAGAAAGGATATGGGGCAAAAATTAGGGGTAGAATAGAACAGAAATGAGAATTAGTGAACAGAGGAGCCACCATGATGTAAACCATTACAATGAACCATTCTCATTTATTATAAAGGAGTGTATGTAGTTTGTATGGTACACTTATTGCAAGAGTGGCCTTTTAGGCCAGATGAGCGGGGTATAAATCAAATAAATAAAGTGTCTTAAACCCTGTTTTGGAAATGGGAAAAATCATCATTTGAGAGGTCTGGTTTGGATTTCTAAGCAGAGTGATCATGACCCTGGAGAATAGCTTGTTAGCCTACTTTAAGTGGAATATTGATTTCTAACTGACCTTCCTGCTAAATGTGTCTCAGCCAAATTTCTGGGTACTAATGTAATATTGACTAATTGATTGAAGCACTTTGGCAGCTTATTGGCACTCCATTGTGACTTTTTGGTTGGCCTACACTGAATAGTGAGACAGCCAAGCATTATCCTGAATGCTCCAGCATAGGACCAGTTTCCAGTCCTGTTGTGCATCATTATACAAGTTAATTATGTAGGGGTGTCAGGAGGATGTGAGCATGCAGTAGAGAGTTCCAAGACCTACTTCATAGCATCAGCATTCAGTTTGGGCTAGCAGAAAGTCACCATGGATTGTTGTGACAGCATGTACAACCTCCCCAAGTACTTATCTGGTCGGCTTTTGAGTCTTGGGCATATTTGGAGTGGCACATTATAGTATATGGTGTGAAACATTAGGGAGGAGAAGTTTATCTCATTCCATGGCAGCAGGCTTATCTGAAAGTGTGAGATCCCAGGGCTCCCCCCATCCCAGAATTTGAAACAGACCTGATTGCTGCAACAACAAAAACGGCTCAGTATATGCTCACTAGGATGGAGACATTTTACTATTGGTTCAGCATATATTTGATTAACTTAAGCGGTCACCAGATGTATACTTTGGAGTAGTTTGGTGTAAATTAACTCAACTGTTGAGTTGAAGAATTTCTGTCTTCATAGCTTGAATTAAGTACATCTTAAAATACATTTCTTCATTGTTCCTTTTCTATCAGTTTGTCAGATAAAAATGAAAGTAGTGCGAGCTTCAAGTTTTTTTTATTGTCCTCAGATTTTGTTGCCTTTTGTTTAATTTAATCCCATTCTGTTATTTAATTGTTACTGCAATATTAACTACTGTATTTGACTATGTTTAATGACTTCATTCTTTCAGGGCTAGAAATAAACATTATTAAAATGTGTGATGTTTATCATTTCTCCACCTCTTTTTGTGTGTCTTAATAATAGTAGATAAAAGAGTACAGGTAATTTTTTTTAGGAGGATATGGTATGATAATTTATTTGGAACAGACTTGTGTCTTAATTTTAATTTGTTTTCAAAACTTTCCTAATGGACAGAGACCAGCTGTGATATCTCCATAGTGTTGCATAGTGAGACCAGCTGTGATATCTCCATAGTGTAGAATGTAAAGGCATTCCATATTTCTGTATTTTTCTGCTATTTTGCAAATGGCTGTGGAGTTAATGCAACCTGTCTTTCAAACAATTGTTTGCCAATGCAACACTTCAGTAGCTCCAACTGCTATCAGTGGTTAGTTAGCATATGATTCCAAGTAAATTTATTTCCCCTTTTTCAAAAGTCACGCTGAACGCCACAAGGTTCTGGCTTGTGCTACAAAACTCTCATTCTATACACCTTCCTGTTGCCTCAGTACCCACAACAAGGTACAAGGCAGCAGTATGAACTGAAATTGAACAGTATCTGATATTCCTCTTCCGTTATTTAATGAGGCCATAAACCTGATAAAAATTAATGGTAAAGGTAACTTTAAAAATTAACAGTTTCCCCCTCACACAAAGGATGTGAGTTGTCCCTAGTGATAATTGTAACTTATAGTTATAGCCCCATGGGACAAATAAATCACAAGTAACTAGTTATTTAAAAGTAGTTGCTTCTAAACTTTAGCTGTGAAACTTTCATTTTTTATCCACAAAAAGAAGTGAAAATCTCATATACTACTGTTCATCAGAAAATCTGATTTCTTCCAGTAATAGAATAGCTTCATGAATAATCTTACTAATAGGTCTCACAAACAGAAGCCAACTTTTAAGAGTCAAATGAGTCCATGAGGCTAAAAGGTTGTTAACATAAGGTGTCAAAGATATGTACCAAACTGTTAATTTTAAACTTTTGCTTAATATTCTGTCCACCCTTATAAATTCATCCTGTGATGCCCAATGTAGAATGAATTACTTATGGCTCAGGTGGGCATCCAATGTTGTCATACATTGTTGGTCATGGTCTCCTGCTGCTGCATAAAGAGGTCTTGGATTGAGATATTTCCACTAATTTTGACTCCCCACATGGACTTTTAGCTCCTTTCCTTTTATTCCAGCTTGAGCCTTCAAATTTCCTCAACCAGAATGAAGAAGATAAATCAAAACATCTGGCAGTGTGTCCTCTGTAGCTTATTGCGAGTGATGGTTTAGTGAAGACCAGGACACCCAGTTCTATTGGAACATTTCATAGAGCAAATATCTAGGGCACGCAGATGTATGGGGTGAGGTATTGTTAACAGACCTGCTATGTGGACACACATCAGTTCACATTGTTGAGAATAGGTGTAAGAATGGGATCTTTGGATGCTGGTTGTAGTGTGTCAGGATGAATTATCTCAGTATTTACTATGATACAAGCTCTATTTCACAAAGGGAATTGGCTTGATTAACAAATATAAAGCACATACCAGCTAATGCAAACAGGTATTTTAAAATGGGGAAGTATTGGGTCAAATGAGCCAATACACCAAAGTGAGGAGATGGAGAAAGACTGAAAGGAAGCTGTCTTTAGAATCCCATGTCCTGGGCATTTCAAATGCGAGTGACGGAACTAAAATAACTGAGCTTCTGAATTCAGCATCCTATATAAAGAATTTGGGAAGGGACAAGTTATTTGGTTTCATATGCCTGCCTTGACTAACCTGAGGCAAAATGTTAGGAACAGCACAAAGATAAAAGCATGCTAAATTGTCAGCTGTTCTTAGAGATACCTCTGAGTTTCTTTGGTTTTTTTAACATCTAAATTTGTTTCATTATCTGTAGGATGCTGTTTAAATGCTTTCTCTCTCATTGGTGTATGTCTATATGCATTTCCTCATTCCCCAAAATAAATTTGTGCTCACTAGACTTGTACAGAAGTGGTAGAACTTATCAGCAGTTACAACGATTTGAAGCTACATGTGTTTTCCCCAAAGAATGCCTGGATGATAACTTGGCTGTAAAAGCTCCTTCAGGGCCACAAATTGTAGCTATTCTCAGGGAGCAAACGGCCACCTCTTCTAAACATCAGGGTTAACTATGCAAAAGAAGCAATGGACATAAATCTAACATCAGAAACCACAATACAAAACCCCATCTCTAATCATTTCAGTCTACCAGGGCATTCTTCACAGGATATGAAAGTTGTCATTCTCAAAAAAACAACAAAACAACAACAAAAAAACCTAACTGTATGTAATGCAGAGGGAAACAACTGAGATAAAATGTATACACGTGATGGACATCCATAGAAAAGGATTGAATATAATTTCAGGGTTTCTAAACTCATTACCAAATATAATACATATGCAGTTGTTTTAGTCTGATGAAGTGGATTTGTCCATGAACACTCGCATTAAAAAATACAAAAGTCTCTAAAGTCCTACCATTTTTAAGTGTATTTTTTTTACTGTATTCACCTATAATACTTACAAAGTTGTCTACGCTGTTTTCTTTCACAACTACCAGACCCATCTTTTGGTACAGGGCTCAAAGGTAAGAACTGTTAATATTCTCTATACTAACACACATGATTCTTCTGCTGTCTCCTTCAATCATGTTACTTCTCACAGTTGGTCTTTACAACACCACAACTACCCTTGCACCCTCCTTTTCCCTTTTGCCTTGTGTTTTCTTGTGGGAATGTTCACAAACCAGACTCCAAAAGAACTCAACACCAAACACAGGTCATTAATTACTCCATGTGTGAGATGCAACCAAACACCAATAACTCTTGGAGCCAGTACAAATGTTTTACTTGTGAAACATTTACATCTGAAGAATTGGACGTGGCCATGAAAGCTTACATTACAAAATAACTGTCTTTAAGGTACCACAGGTTTTGTCATCATTATAATCATTATTACTTTGTGTTACACACCTCTATATATTTAAGAAATATTTATGTTGTTGTTTAGTCATTTAGTCGTGTCTGACTTCGTGACCCCATGGACCAGAGCACGCCAGGCAATCCTATCTTCCATTCCCTCCCGGAGTTGGGTTAAATTCATGTTGGTCGCTTCGATGACACTGTCCAACCATCTCATCCTCTGTCATCCCCTTCTCTTGCCTTCACACTTTCCCAACATCAGGGTCTTTTCCA